GGTGTCAATTCTGACCCTGCAAAATTCAAGAACTGTCTATTAAATTTCATAATTTATTCCACCAACCATATGATCTTATTTCTAGCTGAAATTTAACTGTAACTTATTAAATTGAGTCTACTTTCAAACAAAAATAGTTTATCAAGAAAGTCCTTGTATTTTGAAAGATATGGTCTATTTATTTAAGGGTGTGCAAGTGTTGTTTGATGCAACGAAAATTATTTTAATGACTTGGAAGTCATTATTTAATTTTTATTTTTAACATAATGTTTTATGGCCCACACTAAGTTTTTAAACTTACATTATGAGTCTAGTTTCTAATCAAATTTATTCGAGAAAGAAATATCTATAAAGAGAGAGAAATAAAAATTTTGGATTGAAAAGATGTCATCCTGAATTTTCTACAATTTAGTGTGTCCATCATTGAGATATGAATAATTAAATTTATCAAAGTCTATCTAACAGAATGATATGAGGCTTGTGAAAATATATGTGTTATCATTCTGTGTTACTTTCAAACAAAATTGGTTTGAAAGGAAAACACCAAGCGATGAGAGAGAAAAAACAATTTTACTAAATAGTGTTCATACTGGAATTCTGTACTATGATTTGTTTTGTTACGTAAATGTCACTTATTTATTTATCTGAAGAAAAGTATTATTTGGAATTCATACCATGATGTTATGATTTTATTTTGAGTCTAGTTTTCAACACAAAATATTTCAAGAAGAAAATCTTTGAGGATTGAGACAAACAATTTTTTATTGAGATGTGCTCAACCTGATTTTCTGCTGAGAAAATTACATTATGAGATAAATGTAACTAAAACGTGGACTCACTAAATGTTGTGATTTAGGGTTGGAATTGAGCATTATTTTATATTTGTTAGTCTATTTCAATACTCAAAAAGATTCAGAAATAAATTCTTTATGAGTTGATAGATATCATATTTTATTATGGGATACTCATGTTTTATTCTGTGGTAAATTAAAAGATGTGGCATGTTAAGGCACATATATAGATTCTTAATTATGGAAACCTTTTTAGGGCTCATTTAAAAAGGTTTTATAGTATGGTTTGTTATAGTAAAACTTCAAAGAGAATATACAAAGTTGACGAGTTATGACACTCTATATGAAGAGTGTTCGATCTTGGAATAACAGAAAGAAGAAGAAACATAATACCTATAAAAATATATTGGTTTTGTAAAAATAAAATGATACATAAAGAGACTTGATGGTAGCAAAGAAACACTAAAGATCAGTGAAAGAATCAAATTTTTTATATTTAAAATGATGAGATGAGGAAGAGTATTTCTTCACAATGTAAGACATGGAGAATCCAAAGTACCGAAGAGATGCACACTTCGTGACATATGAAATCGATGACCAACATATATTCTCCATCAGTTGCGTGCTCTTTCAAGATCACAAAAGTTTGTCAAACAAATAAAAGCAATGAATCAAGAAAAAATCCAGTTACCACACTACATGGTTTTTGATGTATGAAATCTATCTCACAATACATGATAAGGCATATAGGGAAAGATGATTCAATAACTTTTTATTTTATGGTTAATATGATTTTACTATATTTTGGCTAATTTTTTATGAATATGTATGGAGTGTATGGACATTATGTAATAGGTGCCAACAAATTTGAAAAGCCGATTTTTTAATATCTTGTGTTTTAGTACCTCCTTGTGCTATAGATGAACTACTTAAGATAGTGATACATATGGATGTACAATTTGATCAAGGGCTTTGAGCCCTAAAGATGAAACACAAGAGATGGGTGTGGCCCATTCAAATATGTAAAGCACAAAAGGAGTGTTCTAATGGAACTCGGTCTTAGTGATCATCCTCCCAAGAATGTTAAGTAATATGATGTGTTGCATGTGATGATAATCTCTTGATAAAATCTCCATATTTGCCAAAAGGAAGTCAAAATTTTGATAACCATTCTTTAGTCAGTCATGTTTTATTTTGGATAAAATTATAAGATGGTATTTATTATTTGTTTTTGTGGCCATGAACTTGACTCGGTAAGAAATTAAAAGTGAATGCGGTAAAATGATTTATGAAGGTTAAGCATGTATTTAAAATTCAAATGGATGATTTGATTACAACCTAAGTCTATGAGTGTGTTTTTGAGAAAACCACATACTCTTGCAAGGACTACTAAATCTTTATGGAAATTCATTCTAAACTATCATATCTAATTATTGCTTGTGATGTACATATATGTGGTCAATAGTTATTTTTTTATTAAAGAAAAAAACATTGTATCTTGAAAGTATTTATAAAATTGTGAAAAAAAAGTATTATACACTGGCTTTTAAATACCCATATGCCTGAACTCATGTTTCTAGAACATTGAACCATAGGGAATGTTGTATAAATGTCATATTGCTAGATTTTCTTTAACATATGTTGTATTGATTAGATAACTTGATGACCCACTAATGAGCCCCTGCATGGATTGTGGGTCATGAAAAATACTGGGTCGGTTTGATAAGTAAGTGTAAACTGTAGCCTACAGTTGAAGGTGGAGTACCCCAGCGTTTATTTATTTAATTCATAGATCATATGGATCATTTTTCCATCTAATGAATTTAATTATATTTGTTTTAATTATATAAGATTTGTAGAATTATTATTTGAATTTTTCTAGATATCTGAATATTTTATTTATCAAATTTGGATTTATAAAAGTAGATATATTGATTTTAGATTGATTTAAATATTCAAATTTGATTTTATGGATTTCTAAATATCATATAATTAATTTTAATAATTTTAATATTGCATAGGATGCCTAATATGTTAATGGACCCATCATTGCATGTGGGTAGGGCCTATGAAGTACCACCTAGGGTGGCACGCCCTACCCTAATGAACTTTCCTTGTGTTAGTTCAAGCTTTGGCTTGAAGAGAAAGCTTTGAAGTGTTTTGGAAAGATTTTGCCTTGAGGAAGCTTTTAAAGGATTTTTGAAAAGCATGAAAAAACTTGTGCATAATTTTAGTAAGCACTATATTATAAATGGAATTATTTTATTTTATTTCTATTGATGGGAAAATGATTTAGAAATGAAAGATAAAGGTTATAACGCCTTCAATAAAGTTGATAGCACATCTATGGAATGGAGTGCTCAAATCTCTCACCCCATAAGTCACCCAAGATCAATGATTTATATTTAATCTCACAAGAAAAAGTAAACAAAAAAAAACCTTAAGAAACCCTATTCATGTTCAAACACTATAAAAAGGGATTGATCCCTACCAAATCTATATACCTTATATCTTACACCTATGTCTCATTTCTCTCTCACATCCAACAAAGGGGGCACGCCCCACTTCGAATATCTCTCTCTCTTAAAAAAGACTATCTCCCTTAAGAAAGCTTCTCACTCTCTCAAGAGACCCAAAGGGGCATGCCCCATTCTTTCATCTGTGATATCTCTCATGGTGGTTCTCTCAACTCTCTCATAATCTCTCATCGCTCATTGGGGTTATAGACTCTAGGATTGTAGTAAAAAAGAGAAATATCTCTCAAATTAGGTTGTTAAGGGGATTCACCCAAGGGTTTGAGATTTGTGATAAATGAGTTCATTATTCCATTAGAGGGTTTGGTATAAACTTGCTTTAAAAGTTGAGATTGAAGGTTCATCGTTAATCCCGTTTCATAGGATAGTGGTGATTCGGTGTGGGGTGTAATAAACCCGTTTGAAGTAATATCCGTTACTCTCTTTTTGTTTCTTGCCATATTTAATTATATTGTTTTTATATTCCCAAAGAATTGTAGATATTTTATTTGTTTAAATAAAATTGGTTTAATGGTATCAAAGTTTTTAAAATTTAGATTTGTTAGTTTTATTTTCTTTGAACAATATAAATGATCTTCGCCAAAAAAAAAAAAGATAAAAAAGATAAAAAATATATCTCCCAATAAGATCACAGTTAGTCTTCTTTCCAAAAACTACTATTATGCTTGCAGGTATCAGGTGCCTGTCGAGGAGGAGAGAGAAAGGCTTTGATGGTGTAGAGAGAGGGAGGGAGTGAAGGAGATTCTAGAGAGAGAGAAGGTGATGGTGAGAATTCTAGAGAGAGAAGGAGGGTATGGATTAATTTTCTATGGTTGGATTCTTTTGAACAATATTATGAACTTTTATTTATAGTTTTTTTAAAAAGCATGATTACATAGTTGGGATCAAAACATAAAAAATAAACAATGAATATAAAGAGACTCCATGTTCAGCCAAGTGATGCGCTAATCATTAGCTTCACAAGAAATAAGAGAGAGAAACTTGAAGCGCAGGATAAGAGCAAAGATCGATGATTTTCAACCAAAAAGTATGAAGAATGTAAGTGATCTTTTGCTCCAACAGACACCATTTAATGACATTAAAAAAATCTCCTTCAACATTAATAGTTCTCAAAATTACCAATTGACAACAAGGATTCAGGGGAGAGGGATACAGATCGAGAGTGTGAAAGAGAGGGTAGGTAGAGAGAGAAAGAGAAGGATAGGTAAAGAGAGATAAAGTGATAGAGAGGGCAAGTAGAGAGAGAGAAAGAGAGTGTTGTCATATGACTAAAAAACATAAGAATAATGAGAAGAAAAAGGTATTTTTGTAAAAATAATTCACTTTTTGACTGGGTAAATATAAAAAAAGATAGTGTTGGATAGAGGGTGTCATACAAAAAGTAACGAGAGATAGGATGTCTAGAAAGTTGATTGTGAGGGAATCTCTATAATTTTCTCTAGAATATTTTTCCTTCAAACATTTGGAAGAACAAAAGTCATGACAAATTATTAATGAATCGTCACCATCATCATAATATTTTTCTAATTAATTAGAGTCGGCTATACGAATCATGATTCGTTATTCTACTCTATTAAAGGTCATACTTTTAGTGAAGCCATAGGTCCCGTATCTTTTCTCACTATTCCAACCATGTTTTTTTTAGTCTACCATTTGTCCTCTTTGAACCTTCCACTTGAACAAACACAAATTATTAATGTATACATGTTGCTTAGTATTTATCTGAAATATAATACAATGAAATTACCTTTGACACTAGTTTTCAATAAGATAATGAATTGTCCTATGTATGGGCCAAAGTTACACCATACCACACCTAACAAATACCTCACAAAATTACACAAGGAATAAAAGAAGGCATTTTCTATGCCAGGGATGAGCACAATAGACCACAGGTCTAATACATGGTACAACCTAGGTGCATCAACCATCCATCTCAACAAAGAACCGCGGAGATTAACCGTATCTTCGTGAAAGTCCATCGCCTTGAAAAATGGTAAGACACACCTATGGTGTACATATGCCATACATCCATGATCTCTTGTATACTCTCCCTCCAATTTTCGTCTACATTCGATCGGTTTCGACAACGAACCCTACCGGAGCCGGTCTCGCTCCAAGAGATAATCGTCGAGATGAGGCGTTTCTTAAGGGCGCCGAGACTTGATAATCAGATAGAATTGGCATTTCATCAGAATGGCCAGAAATGCAGAGTGTTCCAGTGTCATCTTGCTCCCAAAAAACCTCCACCATAACACCCCTGGGGTTATCTGTGGACTCAGTGCTGGGGATCCCAACAAACCTAGCTCCAGTGGGTACCTGCAATATATCCACACCACCATGTCATCTTCATTGCAGTCACAATCATGAACTCTTCAATATGCAAGTACAAAACACTGTTAAGAAATCCGGGCTTGGTTTTGACTCATAGGGGTCCTGAGCCTGAGTCAGGATGTTTCAGCAGAGTCTCGAAAAAAGAGTACATAAAATTTGTCTCGTTAGGCAGACTTGCCTGGTCTCCAGGTTTCATCATCCTGACCGGGGACCTGTGCCCGAGTGACTCAAGCAAGTCTGAGCCCCAGTCAGGAATTTTTGGTACAATACTTGCTGCTTTTGCTTTTGGAGAACAAGGAAAAACTATAACATAATAACATGATTTATATGGCCAACATAGCAACAATGAACAACAGTTGGTTTATCACCTTGTAACTAATGAGTTGGCCGGTGATAAAGAGAGAGAGAAACAGTGGTGACATATAATTCAACTAATTGTTGAACTGCTTGGTGGGACCTACACTCTTCCAACCCCTCCAAACCATTGATGGGAAGATGAAAAATCTCATGGTCATGTTGTTAATTATGAGCAAATGGGTCGTGGGTCGTATTATATGAACCCATAAAGGACTGTCGAAAATCATTCTTTGGTCATCATTGTATGTGCATCTACAGTCACCACTGTCCGGTTTTCAGACAGTGGATGGAGATAGATTGGGTCCCACAAGACCTCTTGTGGATGCCTCTGTTCATTACCATCAAACCACTAATTGGATGGTGATCACCCTCATAAGCATAGATATCCTATGGTGATATTCTATGGTCATGAGGACTGTAGTATTATTTTTTTTTCCAAGTATACTTTGCCAACGCTAATGATGGGGCCATCAGATGTTGGTTTTCCTATTGCCCCATCGACAAAATATAGCATTTGGGCTAAGTTGCAGAAAATTGCTCTCACCTGAATGGAAGGTCTAGAGGGTAAAGTTAGCGTTGCAAAGTGCCTTTCACTGGTGGCATATTCCAACTCTGCTTTCTTTGCAATGTTCAAAAACACTTCCTCAAGGGTTGTGAGACCCAGATGAATGTCCGAAATCCCAAACTCCCTCTCTCTATCTTGAAGTTCAGCAAAGAAACCCTACAAGTTAATAAAACCCAATCAAAAAGAAAGAAAGAAAAAGAAACCAGTAATACAATAACTGGCTAATTGAGATAAAATCGAAGGAAGTGAAGGAACTTGAAACCATAGCATTTGAGCAAAGAGTAATTACAGTCAATAGCTCTTCTTTTTTATGAGGAATGACAAATGTCAAGTATGACTTGTTCTCTTCTTTTGGTAGCACATCCAAGCGCTGCAAATTCCAAACCCAAGTTAAAAGTCATCAATGGGTCATCTCTCAAACAAAGAGAATGCAAAACACAGTATCAAATATGCCCATGTGAACAAACAAATGAGAGCTCTGAAAATGAGTAGCGGTGAATAAAACTATAACATGAGTTCTTTAATGGGAGTCAAATGATTTAAATTCTCCAATGAATACCAACCACATAAAATACGAAGGGGCCTATATATATTACAGGGTCATATGGTGTCATAATTTCACAAGGAGTGAAAAATCCATGAGAATGATTAATGATGGAAAAAAACCAACAAAATTTTAATTGGCATGCATTAAATTAGACATATCAAGATGTATATATATGATTGTGTGCATAGATGCATGCATGTATGAATGGTAGTGTACATTTATGCTAAAATATACATATATATGCATGTAAGAGCTTACATCTTTGAAGAACTCCTTTACAAGCACACGCTGCCGCATGTTTAAAATATCGGACTCATTGTTGTTTGGAGTTTGCCTTGGGCTTCCTTCGTAGAAACTCACACTAGCGATATAACCTGTTCCAAAGCGTGACTTCAGCCTGATTGAGGTTCCAATGCAACGAAGCTTGCCTCTTGCCATGATAGCTATACGGTCGCCTAAAATGTCAGCTTCCTCCATTGAATGAGTCGTCAACACAATGGCTCTCCCTCTTTTGGCATCCTCAATGATGTCCCAAACATGCCTTCGGGTGATTGGGTCCATTCCTGTGGTCTGAAAGAATTCTTCACCAAGTTAGAGAAGTAGTGGAGTTCATGATCATTGGACCAAAGTCATACACAATGAAATACAAATTTTGCAAAGTTTTGCAAAGTTCTAGTGAAACAGGTTTAATAGATCACATTTATCTTAGCCATCATGACTGCTATCTCTGCCAAAATTGATTAATACTCTAAAACCTATGTTTTAGTTTGTTCATAAACTCTAAATCTAACTTGTAGTTATTTTCTAATCAAGCAAACTTTCCATGTACTGTAAAACCCATTTCAGTTTAGGGCTCATCAATAAGACAAAAGTCCCAACAGAAGAGTAGGAATCTTGAGGCAGCATTCATAGATATCACAAACCCATTCTTGCATAATCTATAAGATTAAATTATTCTAAAGGAATATTAGCATCTCCAACTCTCTATATACACACACACATGGTTCTCAGGTCATCAATATCACACTTAGAAATAACAAAAGCCACAAGCAACACACACATATCCTATTTAACACTCGTACCAAAACAATGGGATGTATTCCATAGCAAACTGCAATAAAATGGAGTGATAAGTTATAAATTCACTGCTTGGTGCTTGTAATCTTAGAGTTGCTGGAAAATCAGATGTCAGACAGAAGTTGAGAAATAATAACACTGAAAAAACAAAGTATTAAATGAAAGTTAAAAGGTTGACAAGTCTTGAAGTTTACATCAAGTCATTAGCTATGGTCCATGTTCTTAGAACATTACTTGCAATAAAGTAAGACCATAACTGAGAGCATAAAGAAAACCAAATGAAATCATCAGTGAACAAGAGCAATGCTTGAATTACAGCAACTACGTACCGGTTCATCTAAGATGACCAGTTTTGGATCACCTATAAGGGCTATCGCAACACTGAGTCGGCGTTTCATCCCCCCGCTATAGCTCCCAACTCTCATTGTGGCAGAACCTATGAGTTTTACATCTGATAATAACTTATGAGCAACCTGCATTGCCAGTTGGTATGCTTTATCAAGAACACGACCATTAAGAAGTTGAAAGAAAAAAGAAACAATGAACCAGTTTTAGACCATCAAGAATATACCTCTTTAATTGAAGCAGGAGGTAAGCCTTTAATGCTAGCAAAGAGATGCAGGTGTTCCTTTGCTGATAAGGAGTCCCATAGAATATCAAACTGCATAAAGCACAAAATATACGAAGGCATTCATTTTGTGAAAGGGCATTCACTAGTAGAGTCAAAACCAGAAATTGGGAAATAAAAGATTGCATATTATTTTACCTGAGGACACACTCCTATCATTCTCCGAATGCAAGACATCCCGACAAAGCTTCGGATGGAATATCCATAGATTAGTGCTGTTAAAATAACAATATATTAGGCATTTTCAAGGGCTTGTAACTCTACCCCTGTATGTTAGTTCTACCATGTAGAATGTACCCTGCTAGAAAAAGACTAAAAATTAGGAAACTTTTAAGGGAAGTATTGAGACAACCGGTGACAGTGACTGAAAACCCATGCAGAAGTTAATACTTGACATAATTACTCTAGAAAGTCCATTGTGATTCTGAATTACATAGAGCATCTCTAGGAGATAACATGGTTATCAGCAATATCATTCGATTCTAAATCATCATCAACTCTCCCTAATTCATAAATACCAATATGCAACAAAAAACCATGATGCCTAGAAGAGTATAAAGGCCCCAGTTTCCTGTGATTTTATTTATGTTTTCAAAGTGCTCAACATGGAAATGGCACTTAACTACCCTTCAATGATAGGCTAGAACCAAACACACATATGATTTTAACAAAACATGCCATTATATACAAAGTTACGAGCAAAAAGTTGAAGCTCTCTGATGCAAGACAATTATGAAGAAGAACTCTATTACCATCGCCACCAGTCACAGGTGTAATGCCCGTCAAACAGTTGATAGTGGTGGTTTTCCCTGCTCCATTGGGTCCAAGAAGGCAAAATAGTTGGTCTTTGGCAAAGTTCAACCATATTCCCTGATGATAGTATATAAAAGAAAAGGTGGAAATCAACATAATGCAATACAGCAATGCATACCTCTCAGTTCTTCACTAAGTTTGCCATAACAAATACAAGTTTTCCAGTCTATAGGATTATAGTATAATTTCACATTCATAATAATAAGTTTAGAGAAAACACACCTTCACAGCATGGTAAGGTGATGACCTCTCGCACTTGCAGCACCCAACCAACTTTGTTGTACCAGGATACGATTTTAGTAGACCATGAATATGAACAGCTGCATTTGGATCAAGATTACCATCAAAAACTTGTTGTTTAACAAGGCTTTCTTCTGCAAGAACATCTTCATCGTCTGGTCCTTCATCGGTTAATGGTGGAATTGAACTTGTGCAACTACAAGGGCCACCACCTAAAAGCAAAGAGAAGCAAAATCAACCATAGTGATTACAAAATTCCAAGCAGCAATAAGAAATTGGGGAAAATATAAGCACAGTAGATGGAAGATGTGCATAGGTCATGAAGGTCATCCAGAAACTTGAAATATCAAGAAAATACTTAGACCTGTCAAATTTTTTAAAATGATCATTAGACATCAGTTATTCTACCTTTTCGTGCTTATTCATCCAGTGTTTTAAAGACCAAAATGGGATAAAACGGCACCCTTTCATAAATTTGACAGGTTCGAGTATTAACTTGATTTTTCAAATTCTTGGACCACCAGCAAGATCTTTGTGGTGTTCCAAGTGTCTCCACATATTTTTGAACAGTAAGTATGTCTTTGTAGATTTTAAGCATGTTACCTTCAACATTGCTCCCGCCTCTGCCAGTCCAGTATGAAGGGTGCAGGAAGTAAAAACATGATTTTCTAACACCATAGGAATTTGGGATGACATTGTCAAAATAGATGGCCAGAAACATCCACAAGAAGAAAGTCGACACAAGCCACCTATATATGCCATCCTGTAACAAACAGACAAATCTCAGTTTAGAACTAAACATTGAGAATAGGGCAAGCTCCCACAGTTATGATTTCCATAGATCTCGTTACTGGCTATTCCATTTAAATGGGTTATTGGAATATCACTTATTGCTCCTCAGGGAATATCAGAAGCAGAATGAAATATAAATCATGAAAGAGTAGAAGTTTAAACTACTAAACATACAATGGTTAACCCGCAACTGGAATCAGCCTCTGGGCACTTAGAGATATCCCCCAAGCTAATGCCCGGGTCTTCAGAGGTGGCAGTTGCAGATCCAAGGAGTTGAAGGGCTTGAGCTAGAAGATTGGGAGGAAATAGAGACCAGATCACCCGATATGTTCCTGAGTAATCACCTCCATAAGGGAATCCAAATTGTGTGACAAGCTGCATGAACAAATGTTACTTCTCAAATGCCGTAACTTCTAGCACCAGTGAAGCACCCACTGAATGTCGGATAGGATCAAAATGTTTCTAAATTCAGGTAACTATATTCTCAAGCCCATACCTGAGTTAAGAAGCCAATAATGAAGACTGAAAAACCAACAGTTGTAGCAGATGATGACTTGCTGATAAAAGTAGATAACATGAAGGCAAAACCAATCTGCATAGATCATTAAAAAAATAAAATATTTAGTTATTTTAATCAATGGAAAGATGGAAATAAGCAATTAGCAAGAACCAAATCATCCTATTGTTTGATATATAATCCTAGTGCATTGACTTCTATGTAAGACATGATTGTACTAAAAATATAAGGAGTAACATAGAAAACTAAACAAATTCTTACCATATTGAACTGAAACAGTAGGAATACGAGGAATACTACTATAAAACCATTGTGGAGGAAGAAGTCAAACTGAAAAATCATGCCAAAAAGCACTGAGAAAAGTGCTGAGATAAGTGTCAGAATAGTCTCCCAAATGAGCCAAGATAACCAATAGGCCGATTCATAGATACCCATGATAGACATTGCCTGCAAATATGCAACAAGTCACTAAGTAGGCTCCCAGGTGTACATCTTTCAAATGACACAAGCAACAGATTAAAAATATACTACCATTACACTAAAGATACAATGTACAAAGGTCAAACAAAAACAGGAAACTGCTGAGGAATTAATACCTAGGATACCATTTCCCTACCCCACACCGCCCCGCCCCACCCCAAAAAAAAAAACAACCAAGTAATTGATACCTGGCGTAGCTTAAGCTCCTTTTCAGAAACCAAAGAACTGACTTGAAACACGAAACCAAACATTGCAACTGCAAGGAAAAATACTGGTCCAGTAGATGCAACAGCAGAGAAAGTTTCTATGGCAGGGTGCGCAAATTCCCTTAGTGAAACAATCCAGTTGAAATTTGAAACTGCACAAGTGGAGAAAGAGGATTTATGTAAGCAGGAAATGGTTACTTCTTATTGATGTAGAAGTCAGTTAATGTTTCCAGAAACTGTCATTGCAAACCACACAATGGACACATGGGCATGTCCTAACTAGACAAGGCCAAAGTGACCAAAACGCCGTAAAACACTTTACCCCAAAAACTTGAAATATATTATGACTATCCTCAGTGGATAAAAAAAGACAGATCCACAAGTATGGTTCTCATCACGTAAGATTAGTTGGGTGATGAAATGTTTCTTGAGCTCAATCATTAATAAAAGTTGCTTCCCAAGAATCCCATTATCAGTATAAGATGCATCTATGCATGATGTATGTGCTTTTACATGAGTGGCATCCTTGATATATTGACCGGATTCGAAACACCAATCTAGAAAGGCTACTCCTAGACACAATTCATATGGATGCTTGGGCAGATTAAATAGGATCATATCACAAAATAATGGGGGTATGAAATTACTCACGGTTTTAACCATGCAACGTAGATGCTCCCAACTGCTATATATGCACAAGCAAACCCAGGTAATAAATAATAAAGAGCCAAGGCTCTAAATAATCAAATTTGAGCCTATCTCAAAAAATTCACTAGAAGAGGTTGTTTTGATGCCTAAATATCATCAAATTGATCATCTCGACATCAAGATGCATGGACATGAGAAAAAAATGGATTTCAAGTTTTGAAAATAGTGTATTTGGTAATGCATTTTTGGACCGTTAATTTTAAGATTTTCAAGTTTTCATAGATCTGTTGATCTACACTATTTTTAGGCTTTAAACTTTATAAATAAACTTTATAATTTTAAGGCTATCACAAAGATTTCCAATATTGAAACCACATTTCTTGACACTATTTGAAGGTAGGCTCTAATTTGATTGTTTAGAGTCTAGGTTCTATACAAACAGCACCCTAAATAATATAGGTTAATATAGGTTTATATAATTTCAAAAATGCATGGCGACATTTTTCCAGGCAGACAAATCAAGAAAAATATATGGTGATAGCTATTGCCAAGTTAATGTTACATGATCACAAAAAACTTCATGGGTTCTTTTTTCTTTTCAGATTTCTAGGATAGTGAAATTTCCAAGTTTTTGGAATTTCAATTATATTCCATCCTACTTACTATTATATTTTATTGTATTTAAGTTCAAATGATTTTCAAATCTGTTGAATGCTGTAAAAACAATAAATAGATGACAACCATTAGGTTTTTCCCATTATTTCTAACAAAAGTAGGCGATGAAAGTGTAGGTTATCAAAAGTCTAAGAGATCTAAATTATGAAAAATTAAAATTTCCAAAATAATGTCATTCTCATACAAGTTCATACAATGCAAAATTAAAATCAAAGCATTACCTCCAATAAGAGATCTAGCAATCTCACGCTCAGCTGCAATCTGAAGTGGGATTTGAAACTTCAAAGTGGGATCTTCAAAATTCCCTCTCTTAGATACAGCAGTTGAATTGGTTTGGAGTCCATAGCTTATGACAGTGGAATTTCTCTCAATAAAATGTAAGGCTCCAGGGCACCTCATCGGATTATTCTCAAGCCAAGAATCAACTTCAGCTGGCACTCCAAATGACATTACCTGAGAATTCCATAGACATCAAAGATAAATATTTAGCTTGTGTGTCCAAGAAAAAGATGGGGAAAAAAAACAGAAAAGGAACTCCCAAAAAAGCATCCTTGAGATCAAAACAAAAAATATAAAAATTGAAATATAAAAACAAATAACAGTGAAAGCCAATTGAGTTACATGGCAAAAAAAATAAAAAATGGAAATACACAGCATATATATAACAGTAAAACCAGTTTAGTATATTTAACAGTTAATATTTTTCTAAAAAACACGGACTATCAGACTCTGGGGATCCGTAATATACCCAACAATGCCTTTGAAATCAGCTACTTTGCCATATTGCTCCACTTTACATGAGATGAAATTATGAATCTATGAGAACACACATATGCCTCCATGGTTTTTTTATGTTCAATTTTTGCTTGTGTTTTATGTGAGATTCCACCAAATTAAATTTATGAGACCGGGCATATTAGTACTCAATGTTCTCTGGTTTTCCCCAAAAGAAACCTCTAAAAAGCCAGGCAATTATTTTAGGTTTCTGCCCTTAACAGAAAAACATAAAAAGAATATTGCAATTCCAGCATAATTCAGAAATTAGTAGTTCCATCAATAATCAAATATCCAGTAAAACATGAATCAGAACATTAATCTACCAATATCCACCAGCAAGAAAGAATTCCAACCAACAAAAGCATGCAATAATAAATAATAAGCGGGAAAAAGAGCATAAACATATGGAAAGAAATAAATATTAAGACTTGATATTTCAGATTATGAAGAAAATGCAAATTTTGGGTTCCCAATTGAACATGAATTTCACAGAAAAATATAAGAAAATAAATAATTATATAAATTTTTGGTTCAATTCGTGTTAAAGTTAGTAGAGGTTGATGAAAATCCCACATGACATTATTCCAAGTTTGAAGATTTTTTGACCAAATTAGCTCCAAAGTTTGCAGAAATTGATGGAAATTGCAAGAAATCCCTCCAAAAATAGGCCAAAAATCGTTTAAACTGCCAAAATTTGGTCCAATGTTCATCATCTTTATCGGTGATATTAGAGCAAAACAACTCATTTCCTGTATGCACATCGAATATAACTGATGTTTTTAAATTAAATTAATTGAAATTTTAAAAACAAGGAAAAATGCACATTTGGAAATGAAATCAACCTCTCAGAATTATTTAATGTTGCACCCACCAAATTTAGCTGAAACTTCACAGATACAAGAACTAAACCAATGAAAAAACTTACCTTTTCAGATGAAATTGGCCTTCCTGGATTGTTAGCCATAATATTTTGAACAATTGAACGAACTCTCGTGCTCGAATTCCCGCTCCATAAAAAATCAAAGCATGGAGTCTTTGTGAAGAATTTATCCTCACATGGAGGAATTGCAGGTGCAGTTAGGGGTTTTGGATCCATAACATTTTCGAAGTAGGTGGTATGAGCGAAGCGAGCTTCAATGGCCTTTTGTATACAGAAGATGAGGAAGAGGAAGTAGAGAGAGGAAGAGAGTTGAAGAAAGGTTGCGAGCTTGTGGCGCCATGAAAGGAGGAAGTTCTTCTTGAGAAGAGCTCTGAATTGCTGGAGAAAGAGGGGGATACCTTTAATTAGGCTTTCTCCTGTTTCTTGACTCTCCATTGGTCAGGGAGAGAGCTGGACTCTCTCTATCTGAAATCTTATTTCCGGAGAAGGGAGAGAATTTCAGTCACAAATTTCCCCTTATTTCTTCTCTTTCCTCTCTCCTCTGAAAATGATCGTCAGAAGAGAGAGAAGTTAAATCTGTGATTGCTTGCTCCACTCTCTCTATCTCTAGATTTCACTGCCTGAGAAGAAAGAGAAGTTCAGTTACAAATTTGTATCTATTCTTCTCGTCTCTCTCTAGATTTATTAATCTCTATGAGGAATCAAACAAATTCAAATTCTCTCTCTCGCTCCAGACTTCTTACTTAGTGCTCGATAACAGATAGTCTCTCTCTCTCTCTCGGCTTCTTGATCTCCAATGAAAATGGAGAAATTCAATCTCTCTCTCTCTAAAAATGTCTTAATCCCTAGATGGAAATTCCTCTGAAACAAATTCTCCCCTCTCTCTCTCTCTCTAAAGATTTCTCTCTGAGAAGAGAGGGAAATTCATTTGAAGAGAGAGAGAGAGAGAGAGAAGTATTTATAGATGGTGGCCACTGGAGATGGCGGGCAATGGACATTCAGAAATTGACAAATCACGTTCAGACAGGTGTGTGAAATTTCGGCTTAAATTCCTATGTTGAATTGCGCCAATAAAATAGATAAATATTGTCCAACGACCTCCAAATTAAAAAATTTTAAAACATGGGCAAATAAATGAATTTTTGTTAAATGAATTCTTTATAGAGTAGTTAAGTGAATAAAATTAATTTAATCAACATCATTGCTTTTTTTTTCAAACTATTTGGATCCGCTACAAATCTTTGTCCGACATTCTACTCTATCAAAGCTATATCTTCAGTGAAGCTACAAGTCTTTATATTTTTCGTGGCTATTTCATGTCTTTTTTGGTCAATATCTTTTTCTTTTTAGCTTTTTACTTTAATTAACTTGCTCATCCTAATAAGTGTTGTATTAAGTATGCGCTATGCATACTCGGCTAACATGAATCTACTTTTATTTCATAACCTTATTTAATTATTTTGATAAGGAAAGGTATGCTAGTGCCTATAACAATTATTTTATCACACAGATAAATGGTCTCATAACATGCAATCTTTTTTGATAAAAATATCAAAATACAATTGTTTAAGTATTTTGAATAACACAAGATAGACTAGAATATCATTGTACCCCAATCCTGAATTCTAAATTTGGAACTAAAAATCCTCAAGAACAAGAGATTCTTTATGAAAATTTTGAAGTACTCAAAATTTTCATAACAACTAAAATCCAAAATAAAGGCATTCTAATAAAGTAGTTCCACCACTTAAGTGAGGTAATATTTAAATTAATTTATCTGAACACCCTAGTTGCTTTTTACTATTTTTGTATAAATAAATAAATTTTGGTAAATAATTTATTTGATGACCTCATTATGTTTTGAGAGTTTGTATCTTAGAGGACCATTTACCTTTCACTCAAGAAAGTCACAATTATTCATTGCTATTGCATGTCCAAATTGATGGCTTGAGAAGTGTCACCAAGTACAAAAAATGATTTATTGGTACTCTAAATCTAATCAATTCTACTAAGCCTTAAGGGCAAATTACTTTAGGAACATATTAAAATAAGGATTAGGCCTTATGAAAAAGAAGGAAAAGTAGTATCCTAAGTTCCACAAAAACTTACAGCTCTAGAGTCAGAAAACCCTAAATTAATCATCTCGACATTGATTATCATGCTTGTGAGAAAAAACAAGAATTTTAAATTGTAAAAATAATTTTTTTAATATCTTATCTACACCATCCATTTTTTAATGTCAATATATCCACAATATCTGTATTATTTTTTGAAATTCAAATTTAAAAAAATAAATCTTTGAATTGTTGTAGGGATTTCTACATCAAAACTACATTTTTCGACTAAGTTTTGAAATAAGACTTTATTCATCACGCCTAGGCCTTATATAAAATGCATCCATTAATTTGTTCATAAATCAATTTATTTTTACGTGATTTAATCATTTTATTGATTTTTTCTCATCAATAAAACATCTTAAGAGAACAAAATCCATTCAATGTCGTTGTTCCTGAAGGGCCCAAAACCGAAACTTAGCCGAAACTCTCTGAAATTTTCAAAACTAGGGGGTTTGAGTGGTGCGTTCCGCGTCCGTTGATGTCAGGCGATCTATACGAAATTTCGCAAAATTAGTTTGGAAAATTTTGGCAAGGATAGAAAGTAAGGCCCATATCCAATATGAATTAATTTGTAATTTTAGATTTCAATTTTTTTGCTATTAATTTATTGGGGGATGAGGTTTCTATAAGGCGTAGGTTTCATGAAAACAAAATAAAGCCTCACCTCAACTTCTCGAAAAGCACTTTCGGCAATGAAAATCACCATAATGGCTCTAAAGTCAATTTTCAAAACCGACAATGAAATTCCAACCATTTTCTTTTATTGGGACTCATATGAGTAACTCGGCCCTATTTATGGTTAAAAACACCTATTTTTTATTAAAAAACTAATTAAATGATCTAGGAATACATTTTGTATTATATATGTGATTTTTATTGGATATTTTCTATCAGCATACTCCATTTTTTATTTTTTGGATATTTTAAGATATAAATTAAATTTTTTTAATAGGCATTCTTTTATGTACATTGTTAGACTTTTGTGGACTTCTAATAAATTCTATTACTTATTTTAATTTATCAGATTTTTAATTATTTTTAAGAGATCTTCATTATTTTAAATTTTTTAGTTTTTTATTTTATGTCCTACTCATCCAAGTCGACTTAGACTCGGCAGAGTTACTTGGCTTGTTGGGCTAAGGTGGGTCCAAGGCCAGAGCCGAGTTTAAAAACCTCGATGGCAACTTCCCATTGATCAAGACAACCTCAAATAACAAATGGAAGAAAATACATCTCTCTCTCATCAATGAAAATATGGGAATTTACCATGAATCATCTCTCTCTCTCTAAAAAACAATGGAAATCTCTCTCTTTCTCTCTCTCTCTAAACCACTGATGATTTAGCCCAAGTACCCAACTTTTCCCTCTAAGACTATAACTCTAACCGAACCAAGTTTTGAAATCTATTCTATTCAATAAGGACTTTTTTTCTATGAGTCCATGTAGCAATGTGTCACTCTTAAAAATTTATTTTTGAGATGGGTTTTCGGATCCAATTTTTAAAGACATGTAATCTCTAACATGGAGATCATGAATACAAATAAATAAATAAAAATTTAAAAAATAAAAATAATGATTTTATGAAGAAAACATTTGGATCGTTAGTTTCAATTGTTTTTAGATGGACTATATATTTGTATCCATCTTTAAGATGATGCTTTATACCTCGGGACCAAAATGCAGTCCAACCTGTATGAAACAATTTCCATTCATTAATATGCACGTTCTTTTCCTACAAATCAGTACTCTTTATTACCTTGGATTTTGATTTTCACAAATCACAAGTCACGGTTTCTTACATTCAATACCGCCTCCAATTTTCAATTTTGGGTAGGGTTGGCAATGGGCCGGTCCTATGTTGGGCCAAGCTAGGGGCTGCACTAAAAAGGCCTTGGCTTTGGCCCATCCCTAGCTTATTAGGGCAGGACTGGGCTAAAATTTTTTTAAAAAAACTAAAAAGAAAAACAAAGAAAAATGAGAGTTGGGCCAAGGCCTTGGCCTGACCCTATATTTTTAGAGTTGGGCTGGGCCACCAGGCCCATTGCCATCCTTAACTTGGGGAAAGCATGTTTGAAGAGCTTCCTTTTCTTTTCTTTTCTTTTTTTTTTTTTTTGTTAAAGAGAACACAATAATCCAAAAAAGAGAGATACTAGAAAAATAGAGAGGGATAATAAAAGGGTTTGAATGAGCTTACTAATATGCAAGAGGCTAAGTTCAAAAATCGTATACTCAAATAAATTAAGCATGCTCTTGCGAGATCACACTTAGTCCATAAGCTAAAAGAACTTAGCAATATTTTATATATCTAACATTGCAGAATCTATTTCAGAAGCACATGGGATTATTATAAAAGAAAGTAGATTCTAAGTTTCTAAATACTTAGATTTGGCTGTCCAAAATTTGTTCAATCTCTCTTCATTTTTATGACATTATATTTTTCAAGCACGTATAAAATATATATGAATTAGTGTTTTAAAATTTTTCAATTTTCGATGCGGATGATAATCAATCAGGACCGAACTGGTTCTAAGATTATATAGGTCTCAACCTGGTTCTCCCCTAAAACCCCTCTTATATATATTGTTTCCTTATTTTAGCTTATGTGATGTTTTTTTAGGTTCACTATGTGACCCACCCTATAAACCCCTAATTAAATTTGTATTCGATTTCATTCTCTTTTTTAACATTTTTCTGGATTATCGTTTCAGACTAATTCAGAAAATCGTCGATCCAACATTATGACATGGATCTATGGATGAGCAATCCACTCCACCAATCGGGGTTTTGAACTATTGGTATAAATTTTTTTTCAAAGTTGGTCAGCCCCAAAAATTTAGGGATTTAAAATACTCCTAAATAGGCTCTAGGCAACATATGTACCCGCGGGAGCATGTAAACATGAGGTTACTGTTTAGACAAAGTAAAAAATTGAAAGGAAGACTTTTCAAGGAGATTGCAATCAACTCTTAGCATAAAAATGTTAACAAAAAACTGAAAGGGACATTGGCTTTTCAAAGTTGAATAGTTTAGTGAGTAGAAATCATTAGAAATAGAGTGCGTAGAAACTTCATGTGGGTCAAGTCGCACAAACAACAAAAAGATGAGACCATGAGAAGCTACTGTAAACACCAATGGAATAAATTATCAAAGAGGAAACCTAATCCCTATGGTGAAAAAATTTACTAAAATTTCCATCGGTTTAAGCTTTCAAGTTTCATGCTTTGGATAATAGAAAATTGTTTGGTGCGTTCAAGCCCGCACCTATTATTACTATGAGGGCTTGAAGATCTGCACCGTCCACCAAATCTGGGTCTTGTAAATAATAGTCTTCCAAAGAAAAAATAAAATAAAATAACAGTTCAAATATTTTATTAAAAAAAATACCATTTCTAGTTTTTAAATTTTATTTATTTTTATAGATTAATAATCTCCATATTAAA